CGGGGTTCGTGGGGGCGAGGGCCCCGGCGGCAGCACGGCCTACGTAGTGTGCGGGGTCATCAGCTTCGCCCTGGCCGTGGGCGTCGGCGCCAAAGTGGCATTCAGCAAGGCGTCCCGTGCGCCCAGGGCGCACCGGGAAATCAACGTGCCCAGGTGTGTGTGCTCTGGGGCCCAAGGGTGAGGAGTCTGGGGACGGGCCCTGGGCAACGGGAGGCGGAGCCATTGGGGAGTGCTGGGCAATGTTGCGGGCGTGGCTGGAGACGGAGGAGGCAGCCACCAGGAGCGCAGAAGTGAACGCTTTAGAGAGATGGGCGGGGCCTGAGAATGCCTGTAACTGAAGTGGCAGGCTATAGAGTGACGGGGTAGGCTCAGGCCTTCATTCAACAAATATTTCCTGAGCACTTTCTGTGGGCCAGGAGCTGAGGATATAGTAGTGAACAAAACAAAGTTCCTACACTAATGGATAAACCTGGTTTCCAATCCCAGGTCTGCTGCCTGCAGGCTGTGTGACCCTGGGAAAGTTGCTTAACCTCTCTGTGCCTCAGTTTCCTTACCTACAAGATGGGGCTAATAATTGTTCCCCACTCATTCGGACTGTAATGAAGATTAACTGGGTTGATTCATGTGGCGTCCTGGATGGTAAGCCCGCAATAAATGTTGGCTACTGTTACCAAGACAGTAAGCAAGCAAACACATATGCAATATACTTTAGATACTGGTAACTGCTGCGAAGAAAGCAAAGCAGCATGACGAGCTGTGAGTGGGATAGAAGGTGTTGTTTCACACGGAGCGCTCAGGAAAGGCCTCTCTGAGCAGAGACTTGAAGGGAAAGGCAGAATCAAGTAGATGTCTGTGGGAAGGGCATTCCAGACAGAGGAAACTGCAAGTGCAAAGGCCCTGAGGTGGAGTGTCTGCAGGACGCAAAGAGGTCCGTGCAGCTGGAGTGCAGTGGGCCAGAGCTGAGGAGGAGAAGTAGTGCAGTGGGCGAGAAGCAGGCAGAAGCCAGCTTTATTCTAAGTGTGATGAGGGAGCCACTGGAGTGCCTGAGCTCCGTGTGTCACCATCTGATTCCTGGGCTGTGCGTGTGAAACTAGTGGGCAAGAAACAAGGGTAGAAATCGGGAGGCCAGTGAGGAGACTGTAGCACTGATGGTAAGAGATGGTACTGGTAGCAGTAGAGGTGTTGAGAAGTAGTCCAAGTTGGGATAGACTTTGGAGATTGAATTCACAGGATTGCTGAGGGCTGTGGAGGAAAAAAAGAAGAAGAAGAGGAGTCAAGGGTGAGTCTAAGGTTTGGGGTCCACATAGCACCCTTTATTGCCATGGGGAAGCCAGCAAAAAGAAGAGGACTGAGGTTCCAGGCTCAGGGTGGGACAGAGCCACAGGGAGGACGATGTGGGAGGGACCACAGAAGGGGTAGTCCAAATGAACTAGGGAAGGGGCGCTTCAAGCTGGAAGTGTGGCCGGAGGGGCCTTGTGGCAGTGGGGCAGTGCTCAGATTGACATTAGCAAAGAGCTTGGACAAAGGTGAGAAGCAGAGCTGAGCAAACAGACACCCCGAAAGGTGAGAACAGGGAGGGGAAAAAGGCCTGTGCTCGCCCTCTCCCCACCCCCACCGCCAGCACTCAGGCCATTGACCATTCCTCTGCCGCTTCTAGGGCTCTGGTCGACATTCTGAGGCATCAGTCGGGGCCTGGTACCCGCCCGGACCGGGCACGAAGCAGCTCCCTAACCCCGGGGGTCGGGGGTCCCGACATCATGCCTCCGAGGACGCCCAAGAACATCTACAACACAGTGAAGCCCTCCAATCTCGGTGAGCAGGAAGTGGGACTGCAGCTGCAGCCTCTGCCTCTGCCCTCGCCCCTTGTCCCCGTGGCTCCGCCCTCCATGGATGGCCCCGCCTCTCATTGCCCAGGCCCCGCCCCTAGCCTCAGCCTGCTGCCCCTGCCTTCCCTGAACCATTGTGGCCGAGACCTCTTCCAGGTAATACACTGGACTCTGCAGTGGGCCAGACCTCCCCGCTGCCCTCCAGTGGACCCCCCCACCCATGGGCACCACCGTGATTTAGATTTGGACATTCTCAGCCCCTGCACTTGAGAAATTCATGTCAGAACACCCAACAGCCAATGACACATAAGGACACATTTAGTAATTTAATGAGAATTTGTTGGGCGCCAGACGCCTGGACTCAAATCTTGACTCTACCACTGTGATCTGGGGCAAGTGACTTCACTTCTCTGGGCCTCAGTTTCCTCATCCATAAAATGAGAATCATAACAGTATTCATTTCATATTATGGTTATTCTTATAGCTTATGATGGAGAAGTGGAGAAGTCCAGGTAGCTGAAAGGGTGAAAAGGATCTCATCTGGTGTGAGGGGGAGGCGGCTCCCAAAGAAAGTGATGCTGGAGCAGTGGCTGGGAAGGTGAGGGAAGTTTCCTGGGCAGGAGGAGCTTTGAGTGGCTGGAGCAGAGCTTGTGAAGTGGCCAGAGAGCTGAGGCAGAGGAGAGGGTGGGCAGATACCTCAGGAAGTCCCGTGAGTTCCAGGCTGAGCTGAAGAGCTCTGCCTTTGTCCTGAGGGCAATGGGGAACCATGGAGAAGTTTAGAGCAGGGGAGCAGCGAAGTCAGAAGAGGTTGGAAGAACTATTTCACTGGAACCCCTGTGAAGGGGGAGAGATGAGCAGAAGAAGGCTCAGGAGGAGGCTGGGATGATGATCCAGGCAGTAAATACAGGGCCTGATCTGCAGTCAGGAATGGAGGGGAGGAGATGGGTTTGAACAGTAGTGATAAGGAAGACTCCTGACCTAGATCTTGAGGGATGAGTAGTTCTTCAGGGAAAGAAGGGATTCAAAGGAGAGAGAACAGCATAACAGCATGTGCAAAGGCCCTGTGGCATAACTGAGATTGACTCATTTGGGTATTAGAGAGAAGCATGGTTTGAGGGGAGGGATGGGAGGTGAGGCTGCAGATGTCAGCTGGAGCCAAATCACACAGGCCTCAAACACCATCCCCACTTTAAACTGTGTCTCTTGGGAAGAGTTCGAGCAGCTAAGGGGCAGGAGTAGGTGTACATGTCAGGAGCACCACAGTGCAGCTGATCTTGGAGATGGGCTGGCCAGGTGGCCAGAAGGCTGGTCTGATGATGCAGGAGGGAGAAGCAGGTCAGGGTAAAGAATCAGGAGGCAGGAGGGGCTAGAGTTGCAGACCAAGTGGAAATGAGTGGGGATCCTTCCAAAAGACCAGAACAGCAGTGCCAGCTGGGAGCAGACAATGCAGTGATCCACTTCCTCTCTTATCCCCACAGATAATCTGCACCACAACTACCTGCACCTCAACGTCAACAGCCCCAAACACCATGCCGCCACACTGGGTATGGACCAGGGCAGGGCTGCAGGGAGGGCAAGACTCCTTCTCTTCCCACCCTTATACTGAGCTGGAGCCAGGTGCCCGGGATAGAGCAGGGGTGAGACCCTGTGAGCCAGTCCTCACAGTCTAGCCAGGTAACCGAGTGAGGCTCAGTTTCCTCACATGTCTGCCAGAAGTAGTCATCGCTCTCCTACCCAGAGTGCACCCCTCCTAGCCTGGGGCCGGGTGTACAGTAGGTGCTGAGCCCCTCCTCCTCCTCTCCCCAGCAAAAAGCCCCTAAGTGGGTAGGGGGAGTGAGCAGAGGGAGCTTGGACTGCTGGAGCTTTGAGGGGTTGGAGTCCAAGATTTCTAACGTCCTAAAGGGACTGAGGGCAAGAACTGCTAGGTCTGACGGAGGAGGGACTGGACTGACACCCCCCCCCCCCGCCCTGTCCTTCTGCCCTAGACTGGAGGGCCATTCCACCGCCCAGCCCCTCCTTGCACTACTCCACGCTGTCCTGCTCTCGGTCATTCCACAACCTCTCGCATCTGCCCCCATCCTACGAGGCCGCAGTGAAATCTGAACTCAACCGCTACTCCTCCCTCAAGAGGCTGGGTGAGTCCATGGAAGGGAAGCTGAGCGGGGGATGGGGTCGGGTCAGGGCCTCGGTTCAGGACCGTGGACAGTGGCCCATGGCCTTTTAAAGATTTAGCTCTGCCCTTAGTTTTTTTCTCCAAGTTTGCTCCAGAATTACCTGAGGTAATATTATAGTAGAATTACTTGGGGTGCCTTTTTAAAATGCAAATTCATGATGCTCCCCACAAGATCTATTGTATTCATCAGAATTTGATTTGCAATTAATAGAAATATAACTTTAAAAAAAAAAGGCAACAATGCTGGTTTGATAATGGAAAGTCTATGGGCCACAAACTTCAGATGTGGCTGAATCCAGATGCTCAAAAGTGTCTCCAGAATTCTACATCTCTCAGCTCTGCTAAACAGTGGGCTGGTTTCATTTTCAGACAGACCCTCCCCTTGTGATGGCAATGATGGCCCTGAGAATTTTCAGGCTCCCATTCTACCAGGAGAGGAGTCTTCCAATGATTCCAGCAAAAATCCCAGGCCTGGATACCAAAAATGGGTCACATGCTTGTCCCTGAACCAATCACTGAGACTCTGATTGGACATTTCTGGGTCAATGGCCCATCCCTGGTAGTGGAGTAGACTTCAAACATTTAAAACTGACATCCACAGTAAGAAATTATGTTTATATTATGGCCCATGACACACACATACACATATATATGCACATTTTTTAATTACAGGAAAGGTTTGAAACTTATTATCCTCTTATTATGGGACACTTTCTGATCATTTTCTACTGTTTCACTTTTCAAAATGGTGGTCACTCACCACTCACAAAATCGACTTCACAACCCTCGAAAGGGTCAAATCTCCAGGTTTGAAAAATACTTGCTAGAGGATGAGAGGGAAAGAAAAGTAGTTCCTCAAAAGCAAGAGTTGGGTTCTACTCCCAAAGGAAGGGATGTTTCCAGGCCAAAAAAAAAAAGGAAGTCCAGCCCCATCTTCCATCCCAGCACTGCCATCTGGGCCTCAGAATCTGCACTTTGGCTACCTAGCTGGCTTGAATGTTCTGATTGGTTAAACTTGTGCCTCTGCCCAGGTTAATGACCAGGAAGTTCCAGGTGATGTCTGGGGTCCTTGTGAGGGTGGGAGTCAGTGTTGGGGTGGGATGCCATAGAGGAGGGGCAGGTTCTGGGCTGGCTGTGGATCCACCTCTGTGGTTTCTTCCATTCTCCCCTAGCCGAGAAGGATCTGGATGAGGCCTACCTGAAGCGCCGGCACCTGGCGGAGATGCCCCGCGGGACACTGCCCCTGCACACGCTTCGGCGACCTGGCACAGGGGGCGGCTATCGAATGGATGGCTGGGGTGGCCCTGAGGAACTGGGCCTGGCGCCTGCGCCTAACCCGCGGCGCGTCATGTCCCAGGAGCACCTGCTGGGTGACGGGGGCCGCTCGCGCTACGAGTTCACACTGCCGCGAGCGCGCCTCGTGTCCCAGGAGCACCTGCTTCTGTCCTACCGGAGGCCCTGCACCAGAGCCGCGAGCACCTCCTGTCACCCCCGCGCAGCCCCGCTCTGCCTCCGGAGCCCACCGCCCGCGCCAGCCTGGCCGCCTCCCACTCCAATCTACTGCTGGGGCCTGGGGGGCCCCCACCCCCTGCACGGGCTGCCTCCACCACCTAGCCTGCACGCGCACCACCATCACGGCCTGCACGGTTCGCCGCAGCCCGCCTGGATGTCAGACACCGGCGGCGGTGGCGGTACGCTGGCCCGTAGGCCGCCCTTCCAGCGCCAGGGCACGCTGGAGCAGCTGCAGTTCATCCCCGGCCATCACCTGCCCCAACACCTGCGCACCGCCAGCAAGAATGAGGTGACTGTCTGAGCGTCTGAGGCCGGGCCCGGGGCTTGGGGGCTGCAGCCTCCCGGGCCCCCATTCCAGCCTGCACCCCCCAGCACACTTCAGGGGCCTGGAGCCCAGATCAGCGGTGGGGGGGGGGGGGGCTGCCTCCAAGGACACTGTTTGGATGTAATCGTCACCAGAGACAAAGCCTCTTTCTTGGATGTCATGGCAGATAAGATCCCTCCTTCTACATCACAGTATGAGGCAAGGCCTCCTTCCTATGACGTCATCACAGAGGAAGACGTTTGTGAGGTCATCACTATGGAAGATGTCTGTGTTTATCACAGGGACAAAAACTCCTTCCCATGAGGTCATCACAGAGAAACAGGCCCACACTTAACTAGAGGCTATGTCTATGTTCCATGATGTCATCACAAAGACTTCCTTCCTGTGATGTCATAAAAGAAATAATGCCTTGTCCTATGATGTCATCCCTAGATACAGAGAGTCTGTCTTATGATGTCACTGCATAGATAAGTTTCACTCTATGATGTCATCTCTGGCAACAGAAGTCCTCTTTGACATCATCACCAGGAAAATATTTTCTTCCAAAGAAGATGCCTCTGTCTGTGATGTCATCTCTACAGACAAAGCCACCTTCCTGGGACACATCCCAGGGGAAAAAGCCTGGCCAACTGTGTCCTCACTAGACATAAGGCCTCCTTTCTATGACATCATCACAGGGATTCTGCTTCCTTTTTGTGATGCCATTGCCAGAGAAGGTGCCTTGCCCTATGATGTTATGAGAGGGATTGCCTCTTCCATGATGTCACCACTGGAGATGACAGCCTGCTTTTGGGACATCTCCAGGATGAGGCCCCTTCTGCGATATCTCCGAGATGACTCTGCCTGCTCTGAGACATCGCCAGGAGACCGCCACTGCTGCTGCCATGTCACAGAAAGGCAGGGCATGCCAAGGCCAGGGCCATCCTGGGGGCACCAGAGAAAGTGCCCCAGCCTGAGATGTCATCTGAGGGATGTTATCACTGGGAAGGCTGCCCCATCTGGAGAGGTCTCTGCCAGAGATGACGGTCTGTCTCCGGGTTGCTGGCAGTGAGCCCCCACACCACTGGAGGCTCTGCCCCAGCGCTGTGATGTCATCCCCAGAGACACTGCCTGCTTTGGAAGGCCGTCACTTGTGATGGTATCGCTGGTCTCTGCCTTGTCCTGCCGTGACTTAGCTTGGTTGCTCCTTCTCCTGACCCCACGGACATGCCCTGCAGGAGCTCCACCAGACCTTCCCCTAAAGGGAATTTGGGCCACCGGTCCTACCCCTGTGTAGTGAGGTCACCTCCTGTGTGACTCCCGGAGGACAGCACTCCCAGACTGGCTTCTGCTCCCAATGAGGCCACTCTGGCCCACCAGGCTCCTGGAGTCCTGAGACTCGTAGGTGGCCAAAAAGCTGGCGCCACTTCTCTCTGCCAAAACTACAGACACCATCGCCTCTGTAAACAAGTCCTGGCCTCCGGCTGCAGGGTGGGGGGAGGTTAGGGTATGCCTGCTGCTGCTCTAGTTGATGGCATCAGTAGCACCACAAGACTTCCACCACTCCTGATGGCACTGCACCTGGGGTCAAATGTCAACCATGCCTAATGATGACATCATTTCCCAGGATTCCCTATGACCTATAGTGTCCTCATCTCTCAGAATCCACCATGACCAATGATGTCATTCCAGAATCCACTATAGCTGACAGTAACATCTGCCAGGATCCACTAGGACTGATCATGCCAAAATTTCCTATAGTCCCCCATAATTGTGGTGTCATCAATCTTCCAGGATCTACTTCAACCATGTCTTCACACCCCAGGATCCACCATAACCCTGATATCGTCATCTCCCAGGATCTACTTCAACAATGGCATCATCATCTCTCAAGATCCATGACACTCAATAGTGTCATCATCTCACAGGATCCATCTCAACTATGACATCATCATCTCCCAGGATCCACTTCAACCATGGTGCCATCTACCAGGATCCACCACAACCATGACATCATCATCTCCCAGGATCCAGGACACCCAATGATAGCATCATTTACCAGGATCCACTTCAGCCATGTGTCACCATCTTCCAGTATCCATCATCTTGGGAGCCAAGCACTATGACAGCTGTATTTCAACTGTCTCCTGGGGTCACTTCCAGTTGTTCCCTTAAGGGGAACCAGCACAATACACATTATTGTCCCATTCCCTCAAAAACAGAGTAGGGAGGGCCATCTTCGATGACATCATCCTATTCTGGCCCTTCTTGATGATGTCACTGCCTTGTTCCCGACTTAGGGTGATGCCTGCATCAACCTCACCACAGACTTGGCCTTGGCCGGCCCCCCATCACGCCCTGGTGAGGGCACCTGGACCCCTCCTGATAACTCACTGCCCTTCACCCAACCATTTGATCCGTGACAGGGTCAACACAGGGACCTCTTATCATCACCAGAGGGCGGCTTTCCAGTCCTCAGGTGATGTCACTGCCCCTTGCCTAATCCCTGTCACCTGGATCCCCACCCAGAGCAGCACTCCATTGGCTTGGGCCAAACTCTCCACAGAGACCCCTGTGGGCTGGGCCAATAGCTGCCGACCTCCCTGGGGCTTTCATGTGCTCTGCTGGCCTGGTCCTGGGGCAGGCACATCTGGAGGGTCATGGCCACTGCCAGTGCCATCTGTGGAGGCAGGGTGGTGCTCTGCATCATCCCAAGATGGCAGAGAAGCAGCGTTCTCTCCTTCATGTCCCTCTCACACACTAGGGAGCCACTAGGGTTTCGGGGATTCCCCAATACCCAATGCACAATTTACCCCTAATTCTCCTTGTACATAGCCATGTGGGGGGCGGCCATTCCCCGACTCTTAAAGGGCTACATGCCCCCTCCCCGGCCCCCAGGGCAGGGTGGGGGGGCCTCTTCTCCCTCTTCCGGGCCGTCCCCCTCCGTCTCCTGTCTCCCCCCAAATACTGGCACCTAAGTTCATCTCTTTTCATCGGGCGCCTGGGATAGATAACTGGCCTCAGCTCCCACCACACGGAGGAAATTGGGGTGTTACCCTGACTCTACCATGGCCCCAGTGCCAGTTTGCCAGTTTTTCACCTCCACGCTTACAGCTGCTCCTGTGGGTTCCCCCAGTCCCTCCGAAGGCCTCACCTTGCCCGGTACCCCTATGGCAGACTGTGACTTCCCCCAAAAGGAGCCAGCTGGGGTGCCTGCCCCTTCCCAGACCCCCTCCCCTCTGCTCACCACCCCCAAGGAGCACTCAGCTTTCTCCAGCCCCCACAATTGGGGGGGTTCGGGGCCTTTCAGCTTTTGTATGCCCCCCTCAACTTGCTCTTCACCAGCCTGGATCCAGGTACCTCGCTCCCCTTCCCACTCATGACTCACTCCTCACAGGCTGCCTGACCCTGGGGCATTGACCTCTTATCTCAAATAAGCCATAGTGGGGAGAGGTCTCAAGGGGGTGAGGAAGTGGGCACGTCCTGCCAGGTCCCCTTGATGCTTCCAGAGCTGGGACCTCACCATCTGAGTCTTCCCCTGCTGCCCGATAAACACAGACACAGGATCTTGCGTGCAAGCCCCACCCCCATTCTGGTGAGCGGGCAGTGGAGGGCGGTACAGAAAGGAGAAGATAAACAATTCTGGACCAAAAGACCTTCCACAGCTTTGCCTCCTTCCTTATCTCTCCCCCCAACACCAAATTCTTGCCCCAGTTCCTAGGTGAGAACAGCCGGCTGAGCTGCAACTTGGTATTTTTTTGAATAAACAGATGTTTTCCTGATCCCGTGTCTCAAGTTTTACTGTTGGGAAGGGATGGGTTTCCACCTCTGCATTTGCAGGTCACTGTGGAGTCCCCTTTGTGGTCAAGAGGGGCATCGGATCATTTGTGAAGTGCCCCCTCCTGGCGCATGTGACGGTTGTTCGCACACCCTCAGAAATTGCCTCTTTGTGTTGGAGTCTTAGTCTACAGATAATTGGGGGTGGGTGGGGAGGGAGGGTGGTGATGCCATGCCTCTTAGTATGGGATCACTGAGGAGCCGCTCCTCCCGGGCACACAGTAGGACCCTACTTCCCTGCTCTCTAGAGGTTAGATGGCCTCTGGGCGGTGTGAGCAGAAGTGCCTTTCCAGGTAGAAGCGTCTGGGAGCCGGTGTGTGGATCCCCATGCTCTTCCCTGCCCTCTGCCATGGTCACTGGTGATATTTCAGGTTAAGGGCTACTCTTTCTGGCCTGGGACCCAAGTAGATTAACTGAGCCCCAGAATAAGGATAACACCAAATAGGGGCCTGAGCCAACACTCGATGGATAGGAAGTGCGAGCGAGAAATAAACCCTTGTTGCTTTAACCCCTGGGGCCTTGGGGCCACTTGTTACTGCAGGCTGGTGCAGCCCACCCGGGCGGTGCGTCTTGCCTGTGAGGGGGAGCTTTCTGCTGCACACTCTTGTACTTCTGAGTTCTTGTGTAGGTGTTGTATCTATTTTTTTTAAGTAAAGCTTAAATTTAAACGTAAACGGTGCAGGACTTGACTGCCATTCTCCTCGCCAAGCATATGCCCAGGGAGAGCATGACGGGGAGACGTCAGCCTCACTCCTCTCGCATGCAGGGTGGTTAGCTTCCACTCTGAGGTGTAAAGCCAGGGCTGAAACATATGCATTTTTCATTCAGCACGGCTTCTACGTGCCTGTCCACTACTTCATTTCTGTTCAGCCAAGAAAAAAAACAATTGGGCCCCCGTATGTACTGTGCTTTGGTGGGCAAGTCAAGGATAAGATCTGGCATAAGCGTTTCTGCCTTTGTACCCTAACGCTTGCTCAGTGTGCAGCTCCGTGTTGATAAATACAGCCTCTGAGCAGCTATTTTTAACTGCCGTTTGACAGGGTGGGCTTGCAAACTCCTGAAATCTATACCAGATGTTCTGTGCACCTGCCTTTTTTCCCTTTTAATTTCTTTTTAACTTTATATTTTGAAATAGTTTTCAAGCTCAAGTACAGCTTTCATCAATTCACCACTTGTTAAGGTTTCATCACACTGCTTTATGATTTTTTTCCCATATAAATATTCTTTTTTTTTTCAGGGGCACTTGAGAGTAGGCCCTAAGGGACATTGCTGAAGAACAAGGACTTTCTCTCACACAGCTACAGTATAGTTATCAAAATCAAGAACTCCACTTTGGTGAAGTCCATGTTCAAGTTTCACCAACTGTCCCAATATTGTCCTTTGGAGCAATTTTCTTTTCAGCTGCTGCTACTCCGGGATTAGGTGTTGCACCCGGTTCTTGAGTCTCTCGGGGCTCCTTTAACACTGATGTTTTTGGAGTCCACGCAGCATAATTTTTATTTCAGCTCCTACCGCTAGACGTTTGGCTTTTTCCTGATTTTCGCTACTATAACAATACTTTGAGGACTATCTTTTGCACACCACATGGAGCATTCACTTTCTCCCCCAGGATGACCTCCTAGCAGGGTGAAATTCTGGGGGTAGGGGTGTCTTTAAGACCTTTGCTACACGATGCCAAGATGCAATGCTGAAAGCCATGGCAGTCCCTGTATGTGAGGACGGCCGCTTGCTCCCACCTCGCCAGCATCAGGCCGTACCCTTTTCAATCTTGATGTACA